TGTATGCTACGTGTACTGCGTTAGGCTAACCGAGACTTGTCATTTGCACTTATATATTGTTGCTCTTTTGTTAGTTTTGACTGCTTTTATTGTCCTCATTTGTAAGTCGCTTTGGATAAAAGCGTCTGCTAAATTACTAAATAAATAAATAATAAAAATACAAATACATGTAATACTGATAATAATACATGTCATCAGCTTACCTGAATCTCATAGTGTTGTTTCTTAGCTGTTGACGGGACTCTTCTATTGCACTGCTGAAAAAAAAAGAAGTTACGATATTTAAATATTTGCGTATATTGTGAAGAAAATGATACACTGCAGTTTCAATAACGTAATATTCAAAATCAATCGTAATATCTCACCTCGCCTTTTCTTTTCATATGCGGTTTGTTTTGTTCTGGTGCATTTTCATTTCTTTCTTGTAATGTGTTGCGACTACTATTAAAACACAAACGTTATAAAGAAATGAGTAAAGTTATTGGGTTTTTAAGGGTTAGCCAAGTCAAACATTCGACGAACAAATTCAACAACAGAAACTAATCATTCTTACCTGCGTCTTGACATTTTCTAAACAAATGGTGTTTTTCTCCTGTGAAACAGAAACATAACGTTACGACGTTAAATTACACTGTTATTAACCAGCACCTTTTCAGCCTAAATTAAGAATAGTGTAGTTACTACATATCTAAAACGTATTTATAAAAAAATTAAGCATTTAAGAGAAATAACTTAACAAGGCTTAACAATAAACACTCAAGCTTTAGCCATTTGACCAGAGAGATGTTACATAAGTTACATGAGCAGAAATATCGAACGAATTTTTATAATTCATAGGAATTAAAAATAATTTTAAGTCGAAAGGCACTGAGAGTAAATGCAAAGTCTACACAAGCAGCAAGATGATCATCTGATGTTTTAACTGAAACCAGAAATACATGATCCAGTTTTGTAGGTTTATGAAAGGACAGTCCGCGCCAATTTACATGAAGCGGGAGACTACAGCTGCCCCCACAAAAACCCATCGAAGATATATTTAAAGCGCATTAAGCACCAGTTTAACCGAAAATACAGTTAAGGTAACCCTTTGGTTACCCATACCACCTTTCACAATAGCAGTTATTTTCACAATTTCAGAAAGAGTTTACAAATCTAATCTGGCGCCTAGCAGAACTGGCTAACTTTCAGCAACATCCCCCCTCCGAGGTCCACATTACATTAAACTTTTGCCTATGAGATACTTCTAAACACATTCATTGCGCTTTCTGCCTAAATAATCGAACGTTAGCTAAAACAGCTGCTTTAAGGGGTCCCGAAGGGATCTTCAACTCTAGTCGTAACGTTAGTCGTAAAGTTAAAAGGCACAAACTTCCGTTTTAAAGCCAAAGCAACATAAAACAACAGCACTGTGCCTTCTAAAACATGTTGACAACACGATTTTAACGAAGTAAAATTAAAATAAAAAAGATTACAGGTGAAAGAAGACTAAAGTAAGCGTCCTTACCGCAGTGTTCAGTACGAATGAACGAATGGATGGCGCCAAGGTTTATATAGTCCAGCGGTTCGCGGCTACTGCGCATGCGCATGCGTGGCGCTCTTTTCAGCCTTTAAAAACAACCCGAAAAACTATATATAACATTGTGTTTTGGGGCTAAAAATGACCAGACAGTCTGATGTGTGATGGTTTAAAAAATCTGCATGGAATTAGAAACGATAATATTGTTTCTGAGAAACCTACAGGAATGTTTGTGGTTTGTAGACTTGCTTTTAGCCGCGTCGAGCTTTGGTTTAAATGTGTAAAAAACGCGTTTTCCTGCTTTCCCGGTTAAACGAATCCGGGGCTCGAGGACCTAATGCATCATATGCGAGTATGTCTGTGTGTTAAAAGTCGCATTTATATGAAATAATGAAGAGTTTTTGACTTTGAGGAGAAGCTTCCTAGTTTGACAGCTACTAGTGGGCGGGGATTTGAATCGGTCTGACCAATCATGGCTATTCTGCGAGAAACAACGTGCTCTTGTAAACAAACCCATGAGAGGATTCTTATTCTGACAGGCAATGATAAGCGTATTGTAAATGATACTTACCATTAATCTTATCATAATATTATTTGCATTTCACAAGCATAGATGTCAATTTATCAACCTAAAGTCTTGTTTGTTGTTGTTCTTAAAGAAATTATCTTGATTCTGTAATTATCATGTACAATTTTTGTGACAAGGCGTTTGTATGTCTTCTAGCCACTGGTTACATTGTTATATTGATCTGAGCATAAAAACAAAAATGACATACATTTTACCGCTTTTCCACCCGGCAAAAGAAACACTAAATAACACACAAGGGAAATACAGTTCTGTCGATACAAGATCAATGCGACAGCTCTACTTAAACACGCAAAACTGTGTTGTTTTAACCTTTTGAAAAACGACAAAACCCCAGGAATAGTTTTTGGAGGGATGTGAAAGCGGCGCGAATTCTTCAAACAGTAATCCCGCTCAGCCTCTTTTGTTTTGTGTATGTTAAAATACGTCACATCCGGGGTGAGGGGAACTATTGCTACGTGCAATATATAAATAAATAACTTCTTCGTCACGTACTACAGTACATGTCTTCCAAATGCAGACATCCCCAGCATTCTATTTTGCATTAACATTTACAAAACAAAGTTATGAAAATTCTGAGGAACTCAGAGGACCATTCCAAACAATTCGTCTAGTACAAAAGCTACTGCCACATTCAGAAATGAACTTTCTTATTAAGAATGTATTCAAATGCATTTTAACTTGTGAGGAAATAACATTACGTTTCCCTGGTCATATAAAACAGTGTCACCCAAGTATTAAAGAATTCAAATATTATATATAATATACAAATCAAGTACTAAAGAAATTACAAAAAAATCCACAAGTCAGAAAAAGCAAATATGGTATATTCTGATTTATATATTTTTACATCTGATTTTAGTCAGTAATCAAAGCCACCATATTAGCTGCTCATTCAGCATTGCTGAGAGACTATAAGACTATACATGCTACAGGTCACTAGGCACAAGAGGATTAGGAATCAATATGAAAAAATATATGAAATGTTCGATAACAGAAAAACAAAATGTATTAAACTGACATTTTTACCCTAGCATTTTAAATATATTGGGCATTTTTGACCCTATCAGTAACCTCTAAAAGCACCAATGCATCAAGGAGAAGAACGAGGAGGGCATGATTAAACTGGTACAGTTAGAAATCTACTTTATTAAGGTTAATACCCACACTGGTACAATGAATAATAGGCTTGCAGTAATCATGGTTTGGGATTCTTTAGAGATTAGCTGGGTTGAGTTACAGGTTGGGATGGGTTCTTGGAACGCTCATGAGTGGAAACCTTTCATTATAATTTGGTGTGGTGATTAAGTTACAGTATAACTTACACATGATGCCTGAACATGCAAACACCACCTAGTCTATAAGCCGTATGTCATTATATTTTAAAATTTCTGTTTACTAACAGAAAAGGCAGAAACCTTCATTTGGTATTAAAACATTTATTGAGAAGGGAGTATACATAATGGCAATTGGTTTCGAGACATTTGAAATGAATTTATTTGCAAATTATACTACTCATATAAAACAGTCTGTTTATGACATTTATCCAAAAACGTATCAGTTCAAGAAAAAGATAAATAAGCAATGCTAAATAATGCTAAAACCCTACACTTTTGGCAAAGTGCTGTATTATTCCAGTAAACTAAAAAACAGCCAAAGCATAGTCTAAAACTTAGCAATGCCACAGAGAATTTTCTTCACACAATAAACACAAAAAACATTTGCTACATTTCGTGTAAAAGTTGACAGAGCAAGTGGCTCACAGAGACAAGGTAATCCTCTGTGCATAGTAAAATTACATTTGTTTGTGTCCCTTTGGACAAATTTCAAGTTCTTCACGGATGCATTGTCATACTGTTCACCTGGAAGGCACATGATCCCCAAATGCAATTCAAGGCAAAATTAGATCCCTGTTATGAATACCAAATATCAGGTGTCTACTGACATAGTGGAAGAGGGCCTCTCCAGTATTACTCAAGGAATATGAAGAGAACCTTACGTCCCTCCCATTCCCTTCGTCCACAGAGAAAAATGTCAGAAAATGCAATATACTGCTCAACACAGACTGCAGCAAGAGAAAGAAGAAAAGCTGTAGGTGTTTTCCTTGAGTTGCTCATGCATGTAATATGCATTCGACTGAATGTCTAGAGTCGTTTAGGGGTGACATTTACCTTGGCAGTGTCACCGGAAATTTACAACACCAGGTCGCGCGAGATGAAGGAATAAAGAGTAACAAACATAACCTACGAAGAATTTTAAGTTCGTTGCTACTTTTCAATATTTTGCTGTGTAACTAATCAAATAAAACATGAAAAAGGCATATAACACAAAAAGTCACTACATTGAAAGAACTAAAAAAAAAAAATGTAAAAAATGCTAACAGTTTCACTCCATCGTCAAAGGCTTTAACAGTCAGTTAAGAGAAAGAGTTTGTTTTCACAGTCCTCGGAGGAGCAAGCTTTCATTCAAAGTGTGAGACATACGTTATATTAAAGATTTACATCAATGACAAATATTTCCACAAGGTAACATACACAAGTTAGAGGTTCTCCAGTATGTACAGAGACAATTTACCGTCTGCAAGTAATCTGCATTTTTAGCAAAGAGCAAAGGTGAACAGTGATGACCCTGAGACATGTACTGCAGATATGGAGCAAACATGAAAATTAACATTACAACACTTGATGTCTTTTTTTGTTTGTTTTTCACCTGTTGGAAAATTAGCACTACACAGTCATACATCAAATCAGTCACTAAAAATAGGAAAAACTGCTTACATACATATCTATGCAGATAACACACTCTTATCAACTTCATACTGATATGTAATATATTCAATATTTTTTTTCTTTTGAAAATATTTTGGAAGTTTTTTTTTAAATATATTTTACATATTTTGAAATCTACTGTGGATACAAGGCTTTTAGTGATAATAAACCCAGTATATTTAAAATTATTTAAAAGAGAAAAAAACAAAAACAAAGAGGAAGAAAGCACTGATCTACAGAATCACAGGCAGGTTCCTTCCTAACCAGAAAAGTGCTGCTGATGATTTCATCACTGATGTGATTGAACTTAGTATGGCTTAAAAAAAAAAGAAAAAGGCAAAGACAAGACAAGTTAAAGGCATTGAAAGTGCCAAGCTGCCTACACATGCTCCAACAGAGCACTACAACATCATGCTCACTATAACAAAACACTTGGTTATTCAACCTTCATGACATATAACATAAGACAGAACCAGATGGAGTCTATAAAGGAAACACGATGCAGACACATTCAGCTCGAGCGGAACCTGCCGTGAAGTAAAGTGACCTATGGCATTGATTCTAAAGGACTCCGTTCCTTCTGGCGAAAGAACAATTCTCCCAGTGTGGAAGGGGTGGCGTGCAGGGGAGGACGGGGGAGTGCAGTGGGGACCGTCTCAGTAGTTGTACTGCCTCTGGCCCGGCTGGTGAACGTAGCCTCCAGTGGCTTTGGCCTGTCTGGCT